TATTATTATATCATTATGTATTAGTGATATGAATTATTGGGGCATAGATTTTATATATATATAATATTATACAGTAGGACTGTGAGATCTTATCATTCATATGCTGTTGATTAGCATTGGAATCTATACCGATTTACTCTACACATTAATTTCATTACTCCATACATATAGCCAATTCGAAACTTAAGTATGATGATGATCTTCATTCTATTTCACCTGAAACTTTATGTAGATTTATTTACTTCACACAATGGAACTTATAATAACTTATTTACATTATCAATCGATTCTCTCAATCTTTTTATCAATTTTATCCAATCTAATAATCTTCATTGTTTTATTATTATCATTTTAGTAAGGTATAGGCTAGTAATTTGCTCGCATATGCTATAGAACATAAAACAAGCCAGGAAATTGGAAATCAAGGAGAGCACCATTAGGGCTACTCGTTGTGCTTTAATCTCTGCACTAATGAAAAGAAACTAGATGGATGTTAATTCTATCCTTTCTCTTGCAAATCTCAGATTATATACGTAGATTGATTGCACACTATATACTATGAACAACCACAAGTATCAGACATTGCACTAAACTTATTTTGTATAATGGTATTTTAGAAAATATCTAATTAATATCTTATATTTTCATACACTCGTGTGGGCATTAAGTAACTATTCTGTCAAAGCTAAGTCTAGCATAGATTTATGTGTATACATCGCTTGATAGAACTCAATCCGATAAGGTTATTGTATGTCTTACGCCCTAAACCATAGAAAATGCTGCTCATGGTGGTAGTATTTCTGTCATGTTAATACAAATTGAAGCTTATATAGTATTTTTTTCAACTGTAAGTGATGCATCCAGAAGTAAAGAACCTAGTAAGGGGATTTAGTAGACTCTCAGTGAGCACAAAAACTTACATAGCAGTATGATGTTTATAAATATAATTTTTGAAAATGCATGAAAGATACTCAATATGATTTTATATATTTAATCTGCAATCCTTTCTAACAGAGAAAAGTGGTTTGTTATTAAATGTCTGGACTGGTATAATACACTACAATGTTTCGTATGATCGTGAAGCATGTATATATAGAGATAAACTACGTTTGGAGATGACGTGTATCTATATGACTATAGATAGTCACCGTATTAGAGTATATCAACAGGCTTATTATCATATTGTAAGTTCACTGACAATACTGCATACTTCGCACAAAAAAAGTATTCAATGTATATTTTGTCTGATAGGAACACAGGCACGACAATTTCTTCTGTGCTTCGTAGCCACAGTAACGCGTTGATATGTCGGAGATATGGCTATAGACTCTTAAGCGAGATCACGTGATGCGTCATGCAAATCGGCCTTGTGTGCTTAATTGATTCAGACATTAGGTAAATGAATAATAGCCGTCTGAAGGTGTCATCACTTATGATTAAGAGAGCAGAAGGTGACCGACCTGCTCACACACTTTGCTCGCGTGCTACCAGGTGTGGTGCTTTCAGCGATATACATATATTAGATGCTGATGATATATGTGATGATCAAAGAATGATTCTTTTGACATCATTACTCGAAGTAAAAAGTTAAGAGGAGAGGGAAGTATAATACTATTATATATTCTATATATATTACACACACATGTTGTGTGTGCGTGTGTGTGTGTGTGTATGCATGTATACTGATATGGATTTAAGACGCTGTTTACTCTATATAGGATGTGTGTTAGTCCGCAGATCTTAATATACTTGTATCGAAACTGTGATTAGAAGGCTGAATATTATATCTTTTACATTGACGTGCATCAGACCTAACGACCGGAACCTGTATTGATATAGCCTAAGGAGAATTGATTATATCCAACCTGGTTGAAAGGCGTCCTGCTGTTGTTAAGGGTGATGGAATGAGGAGTGCAGAGGTGTGATAACTTTGTGTGGATGGTGTAAATAGAATATTATAGGCCTACTATTCGTGCATATAGTATTCAAAGTTGACTGAGTGGAATACTGTGTGAGTTTAACGTCTTTGCGATCTTATTTTTCTTATATGATAACTATTGCTAATAATAGGTTGAGGCATACACGATATAAGGAGTGATATATACTTCCGCTCTAAGTACATTTGTATAATAGTGAGTGAATTGTAATATCATCGACGAATGCTCTCCAACGTTTCTCTCATATGTTTCATAATAGGTGTGAATAAACGAGGCGAATGTATGACATCCTGTAATAAGACTTATCCTACCATACTAATTTAGCGTGTACAGGTTTTCCACCATAATTACGTATATATATATAGAGCCATCCGACACTTCCATCACAACAACTGACAATAAGCAATCTATCAAATCTCAATATGGCAATTAAACTTTTTAGCAGTATTCTCACTAATAATATTAAACACGTAGGATCAGATCAATATTATCTTTCACAAGTCTTCCTTATGTACTTGGATACTATGTTTATATATATACCCCATTAGCTATATACTTAATATAAATAAACTGATCATAACATACTGGTAATACTGCTACTCAACTTGCCCGGTTATTATCAATAAAATCGGTCAACTAATATACCCACTCACACCTTCAACTTTATCTGTCGTGTATACCAACTATTTATATAAACATAGCTGGTATTCAATATGTATATCTTTTAACGGTATAATAATAGTGTTGATAGGTAGTATGTTAAATATTTAGGATGTTTTTATAGTGAGTGTCATGATAACTGATATTT